TGTTACACTCCCTGCCTTCTTTCCACACTCCGTGTTTCCCTGCTACACTCCCTCCCTCCATGCTATACTCCCTGCCTGCCTGCTATACTCCTTGCCTCCCTGCTACACTCCCTCCCTCCATGCTACACTCCCTGCATGCATGCTGCACTCCCTGCCTCCCTGCTACACTCCCTCAATCCATGCTACACTCCCTGCCTCCCTGCTACACTCCCTGCCTCCCTTTCACAGCATATGTGTAAAGAACCTAGGATAACCCAAAAAAAGTCAGGCAGAGTGACATATTTTCACTGGGGTCCAGCCTCCCCACTACACTCCATGCCTGCCTGCTACACTCCCTGCCTCCCTACTAAACTCCCTTTTGCAACATTAGCTTCCTTGATTTCTACTTTCTTTGCCAGAAAGTTCTAGCACTCAAACACCACTCTTATACTTTTCAACAACTTCTTTCTTAAATTCCATCGTGTTTCTCACTTTCTTTACCAAAGGAACTTTACTAGGAACTTTCTTTGGACCCATGGCTTATTTTGCAGTTGCACCCAATCAGTAACCACCAAAAACAATAGATTATAGCGAAATGTTTGGATGAATGAGCAGAAGTTTTTACACTTGCCCAGAGACACAGCCAGACTGACTCATGAATGCACGAGCAGCTGGTGGGCAGGTGGACGCATCCAATACGGCCGATAAGCAAAATAATGGCCGGTAACTGGAATAAAATTTCAGCCAAAAAAACGGGCGATAACCGAATTGGCCGATATCTGGAATGGCTGATAACCAAGGGTCCACTGTATAATTTTGAAAAAAAATCATAGGTGGATTAATAAAAATATCTATAGTAATGTAATATATGACATTTAATGTGCCTCAGAGTGATTATTATTGCATTTTAGTATTATTATTATCATTATTAATATGGCATCTTTGAGACTAATAAGACACTCTTAATGATTTTAATGTGTACCTGCATGCCAGCACAGTGTGTAAGTTTATTTAGGTACAGGTACACATGAGTATAATTATCAGAGTATATATATGTATATATATATAGTGAGGCTCAGGTTAGGGTGTGTAGAAGAGAGGGAGACTACTTCCCAGTAAAAGTAGGTCTTAGACAGGGATGTGTAATGTCACCATGGTTGTTTAATATATTTATAGATGGGGTTGTTAAGGAAGTAAATGCTAGGGTGTTTGGGAGAGGGGTGGGATTAAATTATGGGGAATCAAATTCAAAATGGGAATTGACACAGTTACTTTTTGCTGATGATACTGTGCTTATGGGAGATTCTAAAGAAAAATTGCAAAGGTTAGTGGATGAGTTTGGGAATGTGTGTAAAGGTAGAAAGTTGAAAGTGAACATAGAAAAGAGTAAGGTGATGAGGGTGTCAAATGATTTAGATAAAGAAAAATTGGATATCAAATTGGGGAGGAGGAGTATGGAAGAAGTGAATGTTTTCAGATACTTGGGAGTTGACGTGTCAGCGGATGGATTTATGAAGGATGAGGTTAATCATAGAATTGATGAGGGAAAAAAGGTGAGTGGTGCGTTGAGGTATGTGTGGAGTCAAAAAACGTTATCTATGGAGGCAAAGAAGGGAATGTATGAAAGTATAGTAGTACCAACACTCTTATATGGGTGTGAAGCTTGGGTGGTAAATGCAGCAGCGAGGAGACGGTTGGAGGCAGTGGAGATGTCCTGTTTAAGGGCAATGTGTGGTGTAAATATTATGCAGAAAATTCGGAGTGTGGAAATTAGGAGAAGGTGAGGAGTTAATAAAAGTATTAGTCAGAGGGCAGAAGAGGGGTTGTTGAGGTGGTTTGGTCATTTAGAGAGAATGGATCAAAGTAGAATGACATGGAAAGCGTATAAATCTATAGGGGAGGGAAGGCGGGGTAGGGGTCGTCCTCGAAAGGGTTGGAGAGAGGGGGTAAAGGAGGTTTTGTGGGTAAGGGGCTTGGACTTCCAGCAAGCGTGCGTGAGCGTGTTAGATAGGAGTGAATGGAGACGAATGGTACTTGGGACCTGACGATCTGTTGGAGTGTGAGCAGGGTAATATTGAGTGAAGGGATTCAGGGAAACCGGTTATTTTCATATAGTCGGACTTGAGTCCTGGAAATGGGAAGTACAATGCCTGCACTTTAAAGGAGGGGTTTGGGATATTGGCAGTTTGGAGGGATATGTTGTGTATCTTTATATGTGTATGCTTCTAGACTGTTGTATTCTGAGCACCTCTGCAAAAACAGTGATAATGTGCGAGTGTGGTGAAAGTGTTGAATGATGATGAAAGTATTTTCTTTTTGGGGATTTTCTTTCTTTTTTGGGTCACCCTGCCTCGGTGGGAGACGGCCGACTTGTTGAAAAAAAAAAAAAAAAAAATATATGTGAGTGAGGTGAAAGTGTTGAATGATAATGAAAGTATTTTCTTTCTTTTTGGGTCACCCTGCCTCGGTGGGAGATGGCCGACTTGTTAAAATAAATATATATATATATAAAATATGAAATATGTAACTTGAAAACAATTGAAATTTTGGAAAGTTTCCAGACAAAATGGAGAGACACAGTGCTCATGGAGCTCAAGGAGATTAAACAAACAGGGTGGTGTGCAGTGACCATATTAGAAAGTTGGAGGAGAACCATATAGTGAGTTTTGGTCATAATTTGAAATGTCTGTATTAGCAGAAAGCCGTAAGGCGAAAAGCCATAAAGCGGGGCCCTTCTGTATTGAATTAGTGATGGGTGATTATATTTCCTTCTTTGGGCTATCCTGCCTTGGTGGGAAATTGCTGATAGGGTAAAAAAAAATTATTTCTGTATTTTTAATGAATGTTTGCTGAGTTACTAAGGTATTGTAATCTTCATTTCAAACAGATTCTGCCTTAACCCTTTCACTGTTGGTACCATAGTACTATGGCTTACGAGCTAGTGTTGGTACCATAGTACTATGGCTTACGAGCTAGTGTTGGTGCCATAGTACTATGGCTTACGAGCTAGTGTTGGTGCCATAGTACTATGGCTTACGAGCTAGTGTTGGTACCATAGTACTATGGCTTACGAGCTAGTGTTGGTACCATAGTACTATGGCTTACGAGCTAGTGTTGGTGCCATAGTACTATGGCTTACGAGCTAGTGTTGGTGCCATAGTACTATGCCAAAATTCTAGCGGCTTCAAATCTAGTGGGAGAAAGCTGGTAGACCTACATGTCAGAGAATGGGTCTGCGTAGTCAGTGTGCACAGTAAAAAAAATCAGAGCAACCACAATGCATTGTGGGAACGCCATTGCAGTAGTCCTTGTTTACTATGCCTTGCAGTAAGAATTATCTCACACCCCGGCAAATTTGGGACTCTTCTCTTCCCAAGTGATAGTTCTAACGCAGATGGAAGTGTCAGTGAAGATGAATTTCACAATTTTGAGGAGTTTGTGACCGAAAGCAATGCCCAGGATACCAGATATAGATAGTGAAAAGTTAATGCAGCTTGGGTGTTGGAGAAGGCAGCTTGGATGGTGGGGAAGACAGCATGGATGGTGGGGAAGATTGTGTGGATGGTTGGGAAGATGGTGTGTAAGTAAGTTGATTCAGGTATACACGAATACAGTTACATAGATTATCATACATAACAGCAAGTGTAGAGAACCTAGGATAACCCAAAAAAGTCAAAGTGACTTATTTCCAGTGTGGATGTTTGGGAAGGTAGCATGGGTGGTGGGGAAGATGGTGTGGATGTGGAAGGCAGCGTGCGTTTGTGTAAACAAGTTACGTAAACATCGTATTGATAACAGTATTTGTGTGGTTATTGTGTTGCATACAATGAGTTGATATATACATTATGCATTATATTGGTCTTGCAGGACACAAAATATACTTGAAAAAATAAAATATTAGAAAAGAAAGGAAAAAATCTAGAATAAAATTAAAAATAATATTACCGAGTGAGAGGCAGTCGCCAACGTTGCCGTAAGCGGTTCACTTTGGCAGTCTTCAAGCTGGCACTGGACAAGCACCTAAAGTCGGTTCCTGACCAGCCGGGCTGTGGCTCGTACGTTGGTTTGCGTGCAGCCAGCATTAACAGCCTGGTTGATCAGGCTCTGATCCACCAGGAGGCCTGGTCACAGACCGGGCTGCGGGAGCATTGACCCCCGGAACTCTCTCCAGGTAAACTTTCTATCAACTTCACGCTTCTGTATCTCAGTAACTAGTGATTGCAAAATTTTTTTCTTTTAAAACACTCAGAAAAATATTCTTAAGATTTTGGTAAGAAAAAATAATTTTTTTTTTTTAATATTTTTCAACACTGAGAGCAGGTTTGTGATGAGGGCTGTCAACAGTGAAAGGGTTAATAAAAGCAGAATCAAATGGATCAGATTTCATCCAGTGCACCAGGATTTTGAAAAAAAAAAAGGAATTTCTTGAATTTTGTTATGTCTATTAGCTATGCAATTTCTTACATAAATTATAAATAACACTTGGTAAGTTTATTAACTACAGTTTGTCACCTGTTGAGGTAACAAGTAATGTGAGAGTGGATCACCTGTAGACCTGACCTGACAAGCAGTGTTGACATAATTACTCACAGGATTTATTTACTGAATTAATTTCATTTTCTTTTTCTGCCTAATTTCTGACCTGCAATTTGGCATGTGTGCAAAGTTTTAGAGATTGAAGAAGATAGACAAAAAGAATGTGTATGAGTGAAAAATTAGTAGTCCAAAAGACGCTTTGTATCAGACCTGTAAGATTGTAGAGATTCTACTGTGCACATTTTTTTTTTTTAACGTTGGCCATCTCCCACCGAGGCAGGGTGGCCTAAAAATGAAAGAAACACTTTCACCATCATTCACACATAATCACTGTTTTTGCAGAGGCATGCAGATATGACATAGTAAATTTGTATGAAGGTTAAAGATACTATATTAAAGCACTGTACATATAATGCACATCTCATTAATTTGCATGCTTGAAGGATATATTGTACCTATCATGACTGTATTTGTGAGATCCACAGATATAAATGAGTGTGACCGTGTCACTGGACTGTGTCGTGGTGGTCGCTGCATTAATACCCCAGGGAGCTTCAGGTAAGTTGGGGGCTGTCTAAAAATCTTTTCTAAACTTCAGGGAGTCATTTGAATTGTGATATCCTTGTATTTCTGACAAGACAGCATTTTAATTAGTTGTATGGTAAAATAATTTTTTTACCTCAATGGTTGTGTCTCCTATCAAGGTAAAATACACCCCCCTCCCCCCCAAAAAAAATGAAATGCATTCACCATCATTTATTTAGTTGGTCTCTTGTTAGAAATGTGTTGCTTTCACAATTCAGATTATCCTTTGACTGCAGGATCACCACCCCTTCAAAGTGCAGATACTCAAGTCCAACTAACTTGCTTCCTTGAATCCCTCTGTAAAAGTTACCTTGCACTCAGTTCAACATGAAGTCCATTAAACACTCACTTGTCTCCTTGCACTCTTATCTAACATTCACTTAAGCCAGTTTCACACAAATTTCAAAATATTCCAGTTTCAAAATAAGGTTTAGAATAAACAGTGCAGGTATTCCTGGCACTTACATACATTTCCTCTGTTCGATAGTTGTTCCCAAGCTTTACACATGAATTCCATTTTGATTTTTTATTCACACGAAGAATTTTTATTCACATAGAATATACAAGATTTACTGTTATGCAATATTGTAATAATTGTATAAATAATATCAGCACATTTGTGAATGCATGTCAGACCCACCAGATGACATGTATTGGACATGTGACATGATTTGTTTACTCTTGAACATCTGCAAAAATCAAACATTTCCACTACTTTCAGCTCAATTTAAAGCTATTTTCAGTCTTAAAACTAGTCAAAATCATCTCTGTTTCTGTAGTATATCTTCCATTCTATTAAAGGAGACCAAGAGGCCGAGAATACAACCATAAAAACCATACAAAAATACACCACAAAGTTACTGTTTTAACCCAAAACACGGCCATAGTTTTTTCTCATTATGTACTGCGTGCTGCAGGATTTTTTATATGGTGCACACTTAACACACTGACCCATTCTCTCATATCCAGGCCCAAATTTACCGGCCGCAGCTTATCTGCGTGAGCTGAGCTCATATTGTAGTACTACGGGACTGACAGTGACTTCAAAGCAGTCAGCGAAAGGGTTAACATTAAATGCAGCTGTGAAAGAAGTGAATGGGATCTGGTACAGAATGGGAGTTATCTCTGTAAGCATTGACTAGTAACAAAGTTCTGTTTCATGATTCTGAAGACAAATTACAGAGGTTGGTGAATGAATTTGGGAGGGTATGTAAAAGAAAGAAATTAAAAGTGAATAATTAGAAGAGCAAGGTGATGAGGGTAACAAAAAATTTAGACAATGATGAACTGAAAATAAATATATATATTATATATATATATATATTATATTATATATATATATATATATATATATATATATATATATATATATATTATATATATATATATATATATATTTATATATATATATTATATATATATATATATATATATATATTATATATATATATATATATATATATATATATTATATATATATATATATTATATATATATATATATATATTATTACCAAAACTGTTGTCCAGAGGGCTGAGGAAGGGTTGTTGAGGTGGTTCGGACATGTAGAGAGAATGGAGCGAAACAGAATGACTTCAAGAGTGTATCAGTCTGTAGTGGAAGGAAGGCGGGGTAGGGGTCGGCCTAGGAAGGGTTGGAGGGGGGGGGTAAAGGAGGTTTGTGTTGCGAGGGGCTTGGACTTCCAGCAGGCATGCGTGAGCGTGTTTGATAGGAGTGAATGGAGACAAATGGTTTTTAATACTTGACGTGCTGTTGGAGTGTGAGCAAAGTAACATTTATGAAGGGATTCAGGGAAACCGGCAGGCCGGACTTTTAGTCCTGGAGATGGGAAGTACAGTGCCTGCACTCTGAAGGAGGGGTGTTAGTGTTGCAGTTTAAAAACTGTAGTGTAAAGCACCCTTCTGGCAAGACAGTGATGGAGTGAATGATGGTGAAGTTTTTCTTTTTCGGGCCACCCTGCCTTGGTGGGAATCGGCCGGTGTGATAAAAAAAAAAAATATATATATTATATATATATTATATTTTATATATATATATATATATATTATATATATATATATATTATTATATTATATATATTATTTTTTTTTTTTTTTATTATCACACCGGCCGATTCCCACCAAGGCAGGGTGGCCCGAAAAAGAAAAACTTTCACCATCATTCACTCCATCACTGTCTTGCCAGAAGGGTGCTTTACACTACAGTTTTTAAACTGCAACATTAACACCCCTCCTTCAGAGTGCAGGCACTGTACTTCCCATCTCCAGGACTCAAGTCCGGCCTGCCGGTTTCCCTGAATCCTTCATAAATGTTACTTTGCTCACACTCCAACAGCACGTCAAGTATTAAAAACCATTTGTCTCCATTCACTCCTATCAAACACGCTCACGCATGCCTGCTGGAAGTCCAAGCCCCTCGCACACAAAACCTCCTTTACCCCCTCCCTCCAACCCTTCCTAGGCCGACCCTACCCCGCCTTCCTTCACTACAGACTGATACACTCTTGAAGTCATTCTGTTTCGCTCCATTCTCTCTACATGTCCGAACCACCTCAAACAACCCTTCCTCAGCCCTCTGGACAACAGTTTTGGTAATCCCGCACCTCCTCCTAAACTTCCAAACTACGAATCTCTGCATTATATTCACACCACAAAATTGCCCTCAGACATGACATCTCCACTGCCTCCAGCCTTCTCCTCGCTGCAACATTCATCCCCCCACGCTTCACACCCATATAAGAGCGTTGGTAAAACTATACTCTCATACATTCCCCTCTTTGCCTCCAAGGACAAAGTTCTTTGTCTCCACAGACTCCTAAGTGCACCACTCACTCTTTTTCCCTCATCAATTCTATGATTCACCTCATCTTTCATAGACCATCCGCTGACACGTCCACTCCCAATATCTGAATACGTTCACCTCCTCCATACTCTCTCCCTCCAATCTGATATTCAATCTTTCATCACCTAATCTTTTTGTTATCCTCATAACCTTACTCTTTCCTGTATTCCACCTTTAATTTTCTTCTTTTGCACACCCTACCAAATTCATCCACCAATCTCTGCACTTCTCTTCAGAATCTCCCCAAGAGCACAGTGTCATCGGCAAAGAGCAGCTGTGACAACTCCCACTTTGTGTGTGATTCTTTATCTTTTAACTCCACGCCTCTTGCCAAGACCCTCGCATTTACTTCTCTTACAACCCCATCTATAAATATATTAAACAACCACGGTGACATCACACATCCTTGTCTAAGGCCTACTTTTACTGGGAAAAAAATTTCCCTCTTTCTACATACTCTAACTTGAGCCTCACTATCCTCGTAAAAACTCTTCACTGCTTTCAGTAACCTACCTCCTACCACCTACACTTGCAAACATCTGCCACATTGCCCCCCTATCCACCTGTCATACGCCTTTTCCAAATCCATAAATGCCACAAAGACCTCTTTAGCCTTATCTAAATACTGTTCACTTATATGTTTCACTGTAAACCTGGTCACACACCCCCTACCTTTCCTAAAGCCTCCTTGTTCATCTGCTATCCTATTCTCCGTCTTACTCTTAATTCTTTCAATTTATAACTCTACCATACACTTACCAGGTACACTCAACAGACTTATCCCCCTATAATTTTTGCACTCTCTTTTATCCCCTTTGCCTTTATACAAAGGAACTATGCATGCTCTCTGCAATCCCTAGGTTACTTACCCTCTTCCATACATTTATTAAATAATTGCACCAACCACTCCAAAACTATATCCCCACCTGCTTTTAACATTTCTATCTTTATCCATCAATCCCGGCTGCCTTACCCCTTCATTTTAACCTACTGCTCACGAACTTCCCCCACATCACAACTGGCTCTTCCTCACTCCTACAAGATGTTATTCCTCCTTGCCCTATACACGAAATCACAGCTTCCCTATCTTCATCAACAATTTAACAATTCCTCAAAATATTCCTTCCATCTTCCCAATACCTCTACCTCTCCATTTAATAACTCTCCTCTCCTATTTTTAACTGACAAATCCATTTGTTCTCTAGGCTTTCTTAACTTGTTAATCTCACTCCAAAAACTTTTTCTTATTTTCAACAAAATTTGTTGATAACATCTCACCCACTCTCTCATTTGCTCTCTTTTTACATTGCTTCACCACTCTCTTAACTTCTCTCTTTTTCTCCATATACTCTTCCCTCCTTGCATCACTTCTACTTTGTAAAAACTTCTCATATGCTAACTTTTTCTCCCTTACTACTCTCTTTACATCATCATTCCACCAATCGCTCCTTTCCCTCCTGCACCCACTTTCCTGTAACCACAAACTTCTGCTGAACACTCTAACACTACATTTTTAAACCTACCCCATACCTCTTCGACCCCATTGCCTATGCTCTCTTAGCCCATCTATCCTCCAATAGCTGTTTATATCTTACCCTAACTGCCTCCTCTTTTAGTTTATAAACCTTCACCTCTCTCTTCCCTGATGCTTCTATTCTCCTTGTATCCCATCTACCTTTTACTCTCAGTGTAGCTACAACTAGAAAGTGATCTGATATATCTGTGGCCCCTCTATAAACATGTACATCCTGAAGTCTACTCAACAGTCTTTTATCTACCAATACATATCCAACAAACTACTGTCATTTCGCCCTACATCATATCGTGTATACTTATTTATCCTCTTTTTCTTAAAATATGTATTACCTATAACTAAACCCTTTCTTATACAAAGTTCAATCAAAGGGCTCCCATTATCATTTACACCTGGCACCCCAAACTTACCTACCACACCCTCTCTAAAAGTTTCTCTACTTTAGCATTCAAGTCCCCTACCACAATTACTCTCTCACTTGGTTCAAAGGCTCCTATACATTTCACTTAACATCTCCCAAAATCTCTCTCTCTCCTCTGCATTCCTCTCTTCTCCAGGTGCATACACGCTTATTATG